TTTAAGGCATTACGATAATTTTTTAAAATTACTAATTAAATAATTTTTTCTTCTCATTTAATAATAGAATAACTACTGGCGTCTATGGTTGGTAAGTATGCAGTTACCAACCATACAGGAATTTGACGTCTGAAAGATGGTCCTCAACCATCATAATCATCCAAAATACCGTATATCACTTACTGAAGCTGATAAAAATGATTAAATTGTTGGAGAAACAAGTGAGACTAAATATTATAAAGCTTAATTGGTCCCGATGTTAATATAACCCTTAGATATAACATTGGAAATTTAAATTATGAAGATGCTGCTGGAATATTTGAGGATCAAGATGCAGTCTTTATATTTTTTTGTTATTATCACAAAATTATAATTATAATATGTATCGACTTTAATCTTATTAGCAGATATAGTAGTTACTCCCAGTAGCTAGATACATATAGACTAGTATTGAGCGGGGATAATGTTATAACATTTGGAACTCGGGATATTAAGCGGTCCTAAAGTCTCAATAAATTTGCCAGTTCAAAGAAAGATTTTTATTTTACTTGCATTATATTTTACTTTCTAATGATAATATATTAATGGAACATTTATTAAAATAAATGAATAATAAACTTGTTAGGGATCCAGAACCTTTATTTTTAGGACTGGTCCCAACTTAACGGTCCCATGAAAATTATCGATCTCAAAATTCATATTACTTATAAAAGTTATTCATAAAATTTATTATAACAATCTTTTAACAAGAGTAGATAAGCGATTAGACTTTTTCTAATTAGAAATTTCCGTTTAACATCCCTAGTTGTTGGATCATGAAAAATGGCGTAAAGGCGGGTGGTAAAGATGCCATTTGTTTGGTTCCTTTACTATTGCAAGAGGAAACGTAACATATAAATTGAAACAATTCATATTAGTTTTGGCAGACAACTTCAATGAAAAATGACTGACTGAACCACCTTCATCATCATCATTAGCACCACCCCACTGACGACCATCAATCATCACAAGCTTCCTTGTCATTATCTGATGATCTTTTATTTTTCTTTTTTATTTGGAAAGAGGCGGTATTTTATAACTTAACACACTTGTAGTAAAAAAAAAAAAAAAAAAAAATTTGAATGTTAAAAATTTAAATTTTAAATATTTTTAAATTATAAATATTATACTAGTAAAAGTTATCTAATAATAATTGAAATTTATTATTTTCATCGATATGTTAAAAGATTATGTATCGCGTAATGTTTTAGTTGAAAAAACTCCTGTAAGTTATAACGCGACGTAAGACAAATTTTTGAATCACAATTCGCATGGTAGAAATACATTTAATAATGAATTGATCATTAAAAAAAAATACAAATACATCACATACCATTATTACTCCTATTTCTTCAATTATGACGCCTTCTGAAGGTTTCATACTGTAAATAAATAATAAGATCAATCGGAAATGTAGAAAATACCAAAATAAATTCTTAGAAACATGAATTTACTTTTCTCGCGAGTTTTGACAAGAATTCTGTTAAGAATCGTATCCTTCGTCATTCTTAGCCACAACCACCCATTTTGCATAAATAACAGACTAGTTCCAAGAAATGTTTAAATAAAAGTCAAATTAAATATAAATAACCTATTCATTTTTTAAAAATTGAACATTTTTGAAAAACTTACGTTTGTGATCCAATATTTTTGAGCTATGTATTAATGATAAACTCTTATCATCA